CTACAGGTTCTAGAGACCTATTAGTCCTAACTACAGGTTCTAGAGACCTATTAGTCCTAACTACAGGTTCTAGAGACCTATTAGTCCTAACTACAGGTTCTAGAGACCTATTAGTCCTAACTACAGGTTCTTGAGACCTATTAGTCCTAACTACAGGTTCTAGAGACCTATTAGTCCTAACTACAGGTTCTAGAGACCTATTAGTCCTAACTACAGGTTCTAGAGACCTATTAGTCCTAACTACAGGTTCTAGAGACCTATTAGTCCTAACTACAGGTTCTAGAGACCTATTAGTCCTAACTACTATCTCAAACAAACGTTCCCTGCTAATGACATCCACGGCTAGTTGTAGACTCAACTAGAATTGCGGGCATAGTTAGATCCTAACTATAGGTTCGCGAGCCACAACGGCACGTAATTACAAGTAGTATCTGTACCAACCATGGCTGGAACCATGGACATGGCAGGGAATGGAGAATAGGCTCAGAGAAGAGGACATTGGGCACACTCAAGAGACCACTGTATGAACAACATGAGGTCACGGCTCTTCAATCTCGCACACAGCCCCGCTCCTGTGCCAGGTAAGTCCACTACGGGCTCACCATAGCCCGTGCTACTTGCCCCGCTCCTGTGCCAGGTAAGTTCACTATGGGCTCACTATAGCCCGTGCTACTTGCCCCGCTCCTGTGCCAGGTAAGTTCACTATGGGCTCACTATAGCCCGTGCTACTTGCCCCACTCCTGTGCCAGGTAAGCTACGGGTTCATCATAGCCCGTGCTACTTGGAACTTGTTCCGAATAGCTGAATCTATAACAACAACATCTTCAATCTTCTCCCAAGACAGGAGAAATATTGCAGATACAAAAGTAAAGGTTTTCATGAGACAATTGGGAAAAGTTGCCACAGGAAGTCTGGGTTGTGATGGGCCTGCGGGCCGCTCCAAGGTCAGGTTAAGTTAGTTAGTTTAGTTCATTTATTATGCACCCCATACCCATCTTGTGGGCGGTAGTGGAAAGGGTTACAGAGGCACATAATGGGCTCAGGGACTGAACCCCACAATTCATTTAGCTAAGCAAGTTACACTCTTGCACAAGACAAGCCTGGGCCCGATTGGGATTGGTGAGTAAAAGAACTCTTGAAGCCGATTAAAGTTAAATTACAGGCAAACTACAGCCGCGGTTATAAATACATGCGGATGTAACTGCCCGTAGAAAATTGCTTTCAAAGTCCAATAAAACAAAGTAGAGAAAACTGCAATGATTGGTCGTGGGAAAAAATAAATCTTTCACTAATGCTCAAACGAAAATACAAGAAAACTAAAAATATATAGTTTTCGTAAAAAGAAAATGGGAAAAAGTCAATAATCAAGAGGAGAAAAACCGGACCCCGGTCTCTATAACAACATCCGGCTGGACAATAAATCACAGACCCCACGAAGAATAATGTCTCTTAAGAAACGACTCTTCATAAAAAAAAAAACAATTAAATCCCACAAGCCACAAGAAAATAATTAACTCCGAGTTCAAGTTGACAAAAATGAAACGAAACTGCTGGGACATCACTCATCCAATTTTTATTTTAGCCAACGAGAGTCCACTTATCCCGTGACGCAGGGCGCAACAACCTCCAATACCACTGAACCGACAAATGACCAACCATATATCAACGTCCTTTAACCCAGCTTCTGTACAACAAGTTCTATTAGCGCCGCGGCGCGGGCCATGTGTGTGGGACGTGTGGTTAAGCAATCCTTGGAGGCGGCCCTCAAGGGGAGGTCTGCGGGCCCTCGCAGTAACTCAGCGCTCATATTATGACTCTCGCCTTCACAATGGCGTGAAACTAACAAATTCTATTCTCGGGTATGGCGGGCGGCAGCAAAATCTGACTCTTCATGCAAAATTCAGGACTGAACTAGTAAGTAAGTATGTATGTATGTATGTATGTATGTATGTATGTATGTATGTATGTATGTATGTATGTATGTATGTATGTATGTATGAATGAATGAATGTATGTATGTATGTATGTATGTATGTATGTATGTATGTATGTATGTATGCATGTATGTATGCATGCAATATGTATGCATGTATGTATGCATATATGTGTGTATGTATGTATAATCACGTATTTAAACCTTTAAACACAATAATAATGTGAAAAACACTCGATTCCCCTTGTATCTGTGCGCCTGTTAATATCCTTCAGGCCAGAGATGGTGACATTGTTATCTAGTTAAACACACAAGAATATCTGTCAAAATTGTATATCTGGCTTCAAGAGACTGTCACTTTCTTGGCTAAATGGTTCAGTTCCGGAACCCAATAGGTGCCTCTGTAACCCTTTCCACCACCGCCCACAGGATGAGTATGGGGTTCATAATAAAGAAAGAAATTGAAATTGAAGACTGGTTTAAATCAAATGTTTGTGAAATGGGCATTAGTAGAGGAACTTATTGGCTTATTGCTATACCCCCAGCTGTCTGGAAGGTCAGTCTGGAGCACCAGGGGACCTTATTGTCTAACTGTTATACCCCCAGCTGCCTGGAAGGTCAGTCTGGAGTACCAGGGGACCTTATTGTTATACTCCAGCTATCTGGAAGGTCAGTCTGGAGCACCAGGGGACCTTATTGTCTTACTGTTATACCCCCAGCTGCCTGGAAGATCAGTCTGGAGTACCAGGGGACCTTATTGTTATACTCCAGCTATCTGGAAGGTCAGTCTGGAGCACCAGGGGACCTTATTGTCTTACTGTTATACCCCCAGCTGCCTGGAAGATCAGTCTGGAGTACCAGGGGACCTTATTGTTATACTCCAGCTATCTGGAAGGTCAGTCTGGAGCACCAGGGGGACCTTATTGTCTTACTGTTATACCCCCAGCTGCCTGGAAGATCAGTCTGGAGCACCAGGGGACCTTATTGTCTTACTGTTATACCCCCAGGTGCCTGGAAGATCAGTCTGGAGTACCAGGGGACCTTATTGTTATACTCCAGCTATCTGGAAGGTCAGTCTGGAGCACCAGGGGACCTTATTGTTATACTCCAGCTGCCTGAAAGGTCAGTCTGGAGTACCAAGTGGGATCTTATTGGGTCGTTATACCCAACAACTACCTAGAAGATCAGCCTGGAGCACCAGGGGACCTTACTGGCTTATTGTTATTTCCCTCAACTGCCTGGAAGGTCAGTCTGAGGGGGTATACAGTTGTATGCTTCAGTAAACGCAGTTTTCAACCCTATCCTCAAATACAGGAATTAAGCGAAGCCCTGTTCGAGAAAAGTTCGAACATAATCATCAGGCCTGTGTTTCGAGACGTCAAGTACAGGTTCACTCTCAGCCAGTACAGTAAACATTCCTTAAATCAATGTAACCAAACTACACATAAAACCAACAATATAGAATTATATACATTTGAAAGAATAACGTTTATTAATATATAGTGTCAAAGATTTATTCTGCCAGTTGGTTGTCTGTTGTATTAGTCAAGTACTGACACTGAAACCTATTTCAACCAGGATTTGATTTTTAGCTTGGGCCGGAGGATGGGTTGAATTTTCTGGTCGTTCTATGTCAATTGTTAACTATACTGGGTTAAAAAGACGTGTGGGAAGTCATCAAACTGTTCTTGCGAAGGGATGATGAGCTTCAACTTTTGGTTCCCTCTTTTCAACCTTAAATTGACTAGTGTACAGATTCTCGAGTGTGTTGCCATTTCTTCACGTGAAGCTGTGTGAAGAGTCTGTGTACCTGCACCTCTTCGCTTCTTAACCCGTGTATGTGAAGAGTGTGTGTACCTGCACCTCTTCGCTTCTTAACCCGTGTGTGTACCTGCACCTCTTCGCTTCTTAACCCGTGTGTGTGTGTACCTGCACCTCTTCGCTTCTTAACCCGTGTGTGTGTGTACCTGCACCTCTTCGCTTCTTAACCCGTGTGTGTGAAGAGTGTGTGTACCTGCACCTCTTCGCTTCTTAACCCGTGTGTGTACCTGCACTTCTTGCTTCTTAACCCGTGTATGTACATCACGGCCGCAGCTGTGGCCTAGTTCCCCTTGCCAGCTGACGCCCGTAGTTAAGCGTGGACACGTGGTTTGTGTCATTGTGGTGTGTGGTTAGCTGATCGATACTCGGGTTTGGGTGGCAGTGGGGCGAGTGGGTGAGAGCGAGTACAAAGAGAGCGAGGTCCCGTCTCTTGGCCTTCAAGGTGATCTATATAAAAATAATTCCTGAAGCTCTAATAGTCAACCACTCCCTGCTCTCACCCACCGACAACAGCAACAACGGCCCTTCCAATGCAACGGGTTGTCACAACAGTACAAGGCGCAACAGGGCAACTGTATATAGCACGTCACTGCTGTTCGGGTGCCAGATGGGACTAGGAGGGAGAGGGTGGAGGGGCGGTGTCACGTGATTACACTGTTGCTCGGGCTGCCTGATCACACTGCCAGCTATGTACATTGTTCTTCTATTCACGTGCCGTCGCCATTACGCAATAATCCCAGCAACTCCCCGGAGGGGGATTAGGCTAATATTTCCTTGGGGTCCAGAGAGCGGGATTCACTTTAAGCCAACATGGGATATTTCGTGTTAACAGTTGTTACATACATATAGGTAGATCATAATTGTTTAAAATATGAACTCTAGATACTAGTAATGAAGTGCACACAGAGGTACAAGAGACCACACCATGCACACGTTCTTGTGTTAGTTCTTACTCAGCTGGCACCTGTACAGCAGAGTAAGGCACAGGTGCCAGAGTTAGTGGAGCGTGAAGAAGGCGCCCGGGGGAGCAGAGTACATTAGGAGGGAGCAGAGTACAGTGGAGGGGGGAAGGGTTGCAGAGTACAGGGGGTAACCTGGAACAAACAGAGAGTACAGGAGAAGAAGAAGTAAGCAGGGAGTGAACGTGTAGGAGTGAAGCAGAGCGCCGGGAGAGTGACCCGAGGGGCGGAGAGCGCGAGGGAACACCCAGGGGGGGGGGGGGAAGTGGGTGGGTGGCAGCACTGACCTGGGTCGTGAGGCCTGGCGGGGATGTCGGGGTTGATGGCGGCCTCGGCGGCGGCCAGGAGCTGCAAGGCGTCGGGGTCGTGGTCATCCACGGCCCGTCGCAGCAACGTGTACTCGTCCACCACCTCCTCATAGTCGTGCTCGTGGTAACCGGTTGAGCCCTCGCCACCGCCATCTGACCCGCCAGTCAGCGCCGACCCGGAGCTGCTCTGGCTGTCCTGGTGGCTGTCCCTCCGGCCGGAGGCGGTGGCGGCGTGGATGCTGGCGGCGATGTACGTGGTTGGCAGCCCCGTGAGGTAGGCGTGCACCTCCGGCCGCACTCGTATCCGCACTACCTGCCCGCTGCCCCTCCCTGCCACCGTCAGCACCGTGCCCTCCTCACTCTCGTGCTTGCCTCTGCCCTCGGGCCTACGCGTCGCGCCCGGGGCAGAAGCAACCCCGTTTTTTGACTGGGCACTGTGGGTTGAGGGCGAGCCTGAGGGCTGCTTGAGCACCCCCTGCACGCGCGTGCCGGAAGGCGCACTCCGGGGAGACTCGTGCACTCCCGGGGTAACTCCAACGTCACTAGCACGTGGCACAGCACTGATCGCACGCGTCACGCGCTCCCCCGAGGCGGGCTGGGCTCCTCCCCCAGGTCTCTCACCCCTCCCAGGCCCCGCCCCCGCCCCACTATCATGGTGCTTGTGAGGGGGGTGGGCGGCGGGGGGCAGCGCCGGCGTGGTCTTGATGGTGACGAGGGCGGGCGTGGGCATCCACTCCAGCTTGGAGCCTCCGCCGGGCAGGTTCACCCACACCAGGGACCCGCTGCCCCTCTCCGGCGGCCCGGGCTGCTTAGCTGCGGGAGGGCCATACTTGGCCCCTCCTCCAGGCTGTGGCTTCCATACTGACAAACTCTGTTGCCCGGACTTACTCTCTGGCACCGACTTGGTCTGTGACTCGGACTTGGTCTGTGATTCGGACTTGGTCTGTGACTCGGACTTGGTCTGCGGTTGAGACTTTGTCTCTGTTTGAGACTTAGTCTGTGGTTGAGACTTTGTCTGTGGTTGAGACTTGGTCTGTGGTTGAGACTTAGTCTGTGGTTCTGATACACTGTTGGCCTTCCGTCTGTCCCTGTCACTGACACCACCAGCAACAGCAGCAACACCCTTGTGCTGGTGCTTCACGGGATCACCGCCGTTGCCTCTGGCTGCGCCTGCGCCGGGATCACCAGGCGCGCCCCCGTGTGGAGCCTCCCGCGGAGGACTGGAAGTGACTCGAGGCTGAAACCTGGCAGCCGCGAGGCCCTCCTGAGCCTCTGGGGCCTTCGTCGGGTGTTGCTGGGGCGGCTCCTGGTGCTGCTGACGGCCCGGGAGCCGCTGTGGGTGGCCCCTCTGTGTCCTCCGCTCGCCTGCGTCAGCGTACACTAAGTCCTTCGGCGGCGCTGAAGGGGGCGGGTTCTCGGGCGAGAGCGGCGCCCCTTTCTCCGGACACGTCGGTAGGTTTCTGTCTGGTGAGTTGGGCAACTGTGACCCAGAGGCAGGTGTAGGAGTCCTGCCTGGCGGGGCGCGACGCGTGTGTGGCTGCTGGTGGTGGGGCGGGAAGTGGTGGTGCTGCTGGAGGAGTGGCGGCTGGTGCGGGAGTGGCGGCTGGTGTAGTGGTGGCGGTTCGACGCGCTCCTCCCACGTCACGCGCACCCTAGGACTCACGCCCCCGCCCGACCCCCTCGCGCCCCCCATCCCTAAACCACCCAACACCCCGCCAACACCTCCACTCTCGCCGTCAGGTTCAGGCAGGTTCTCGCGGATCTTAGGAAGGGGGGCGCGCCTCTTGAGGGTCTCGCCCTCCAAACTGGTCAGTTCGTCGTCGCCTTCGTCACCACTCTGCATCTTCCGCTGCTCGGCTGCCTTCCACTCCCACCAGTTGCGGCCCCGTCGCCCCTCCACCCTGCCCTTGGGCTTCTGCTGGACGACAAGAGGTGTCGTCTCGCCCTCCTGAGACCCGCTGCTTTCCTGTAAACTGGGCAGAGAGGAAGAGCTTTGCTGTGAGGTTGGACTGTCCCTCCTGGCCGCCTCTACAGCCTCCTCCTCCTCGTCCTCTTTACCTTGGTGTGGCCCCCCTCCTGCCTGGGTGCCCTCCGCCACCCCCATTTCTCCCCTATAGTCACGACTCCCCCCTCTCCACACGTGCCTTTACAAGAATCATCCCACAACACACTCCCACGTTAACATAAAGCCAAATTGGGGGAACCTAAACTCTCCTTTTTGTTCAGCTCTCCGCTACCCTTTGCTTGGCTCTTTATACTCTAATCTTTGTTGGCTCTGCCTCGGGCGTTCTCGCAAGCTCGGTAAACACCAGCCACAAGGTGTCGGGGGTGCGGAGGGTGCTGAACTGTTTTTGGCTTTAGTGTTGGCGTGTGGGTGTATGAGGCTAGACGAGGGAGAGGTGGTGAGCGGACAGGAGGTGTGGCCACTTGGCGCTTCGCAGGCGTTCACCTGAGTCCCGTCACGAACACGTCGAGAGGAGCGAGTGTGGGCGAGGCCAGAGGAATATCCTCGACCACAGAGAGAGTTGGTGGCTCCTGAAGGACGGATCCCTGAGAGAAGGAAGAGGGGGAGGGGGAAGGGCGGAGGCGGTGGCTGCTGCAGAAGGCGGCGACTGAGGCGAGCGCTTCACCGCCAGGCGTAGGTGACGCCACCCTGCAACACCACCAGGCATGGTTTGTCACAAACACAACAACTCTGCTCTCAGTAAGGCATCACCACTAGCTCAACAGCTTAAACTAAAACATATCAACAGAAATAGGTAAAAATTAAACAGAAATCAAAATAGGAACTCCAAGAGAGTGTGTGTGTATCCTCTCGCGAATCATACAGGATATCAACCTATTGTTCCTATAAATAAAAGAAATGGTAAACGACTGAATTAGATCCAGCACGATACTGTGGCCATCACTTCCACTACTCAAGACGCTGGGGAGTAGGTCATGAGGATGGGAAGGGGTGGTGATGTTGAGGCTGAGGAAGGTCAGAAAGGGAAGGGGTGGTGATGCTTGTATTAAGAAAGGGGAGGGGTAGTAATGCTGGGGTTGAAAAGGGAGAGGGGGTGGTTATGCTGGTGTTGAGGAAGATGAGAAAGGGAAGGAGTGGTAATGCTAGGGTTGAAAAGTGGGAGGGGATAGTGATCCTGGTGATGAGGAAGGTGAGAAAGGGGGGAAGGGTCAGGTACCACCGTGTAATCTATAATGAATATCAGCCCATTTTCTTATATGATACTTCGTCTCATTCACTCACTCATACTCACTCACACCTGTACGGCCACCACACTTGTCACTTGTTTTAGTCCATGAGGGATGAGGTGAGAGGATGAAAGTTCGCCAAATACATCCCAGAAAGTGCACTATAAAGAGTATCTCGAGAAAAGTGTATTATAGTAACGTTATTAACACATATAAGAACCAAGTGCTATAGCGCACTACGCAATGAAATAATAACCCACTATTGAGAAAACACGCAAAAAACGTAGAGTTCAAGTATGTTTATTGAGATAAGAAAGAAATACATCTCAAAGGGATAGAGTAGCTTAGGCTATTTCTACCCCCCCCCCTTCCTAAGAAACATGGACTGGATATTCCGGTCCCAAGCCGGAACCCTCTTCAGTAGTGTCCTCTTTAAGACCCCGAAGAGGGTACCGGATTGGGACTGGAATATCCAGTCTATGTATCTTGGGTGTTTTCTAAATAGTGGGTTATTATATCGTTATTCCATATAACTAAGAAGAAAGCATATTCGATACCAAACGACTTGTAGCTGCGAGGTGACGCATCTAAACATGTGTGTGTGGCAAGGGAGTGTATTGGTGTGCACGTTCTCTAGAAAGTTACGTATTCAACTGAGTGCGTCATAAGCGGCGCTAATTTCTTTCCTACTTTTGCTGGTTGAGTAGGGTCAATTAGAGCGGGGGTATTCCAAGTGCGTGGCGACATGCGTAAGACTGTGACTTGATGCGTGTGTTAGGTGCATGCATAAATACGTGTTGTGGGGCGTGTATAAGTGAGGTGAGGTGTGTAAAGTGTATAACGAGGTTCACAAGTGCATGGCAAAATTAGTAATAGCTCCAATTGCGAATTTTGCCAGACTTACGTTATAATGAAATTTCGAAGTGTATATAAGCAGTGTTTCAGATGCAAATAAAGAGAGTGTCTGCGGCTGGAGGTAAAAGCCAGTGTGTGGAGGTTATCCTATGTTGAATTAGGAAACATGGAGGGTTAACATAACTGGGATACTGCAAGCGGGGTCCCACAGGGCTCTGTCCTGGATCCTCTGTTTTTTATAATTTGTTTATAAACATTTTTATACACTGGATTGAACAACAACATTTGGAAATTTGCAGACGATGCACAAATTGGGCGGGAAATATATCCACAAGACTCAAAATCGCTACAAGATGAATGATATAGACTTTTAAAATGGTCGAAAGAGTGGCAGATGCTGATTAACTGTGACAAATGTGTGATTTTGAGCGTTGGTAATAATAATAACTAAATAATATATATATATATATATATATATATATATATATATATATATATATATATATATATATATATATATATATATATATACATATATATATATATTAGTTGATTTTATACCCGCATTAGGTCAGGTGATAATACAATGAAGGTGAAAAACATGGGGGGATACAATTTACTCTACCCACCATGAGAGTAAGGACAAGACAAGAACATATCGATGCCAACACAGAAGACAATGTCCAACATAACAGGCCAATTACACTGGATTAATCTTTGTGTTTAGATAGGAGATGCCTCGTATGGGCCAATAAGCCTTCTGCAGCCCCTATGTTTATCCCTTATGTATCCCCCCCATGTTTTTCACCTTCATATATATATATATATATATATATATATATATATATATATATATATATATATATATATATATATATATATATATATATATATTTGAAAATATTAGCGTTCACTTGTGCTGTCACGTACACTCACTGTGTGTATGTGTGTGTGTGTGTGTGTGTGTGTGTGTGTGTGTGTGTGTGTGTGTGTGTGTGTGTGTGTGTGTGTGTGTGTGTGTGTGTGTGTGTGTGTGTGTGTGTGTGTGTGTGTGTGTGTGTGTGTGTGTGTGTGCGCGCGCGCATGCGTCGGTGAGTGAGTTTCTTACTGGCAGGCGGTATCACAGCCACTCAGCGCACCCCAGCATACTCAACACTCACCATACTCAACACACTCACCATACTCAACACACTCACCATACTCAACACACTCAGCATACTCAACACACTCACCACACACTCCACGCCCCAATACTGTTTATCGCTTATAAGGGTAACACTAATATTGACGAGGGTTCCCTTACCCTGCATCCCAGCAGGTGGGAGCACCACCCCCAGCAGGTGGGAGCACCACCCCCCAGCAGGTGGGAGCACCACCCCAGCAGGAGGGAGCAGGTGAGAAAATAAACTACATATTTGCAGTTTATTTTAATGTTATTTACACGGTAACGTAACTAACGAAATAACACCTGTTACGTCCCAAGGAGCGGGACCCTTCTTACCAGGCCTTCTTAACAGTGGTCTTTTTAGTGTCAAGGTGTCTGGTTAAGACGGCGCGGCCTCGCTGGCTTGTGACGGCTGAGGTAGTTGGGCTTGACGGGCACCAGGGAGCAAGAGGGCAAGAATGGCTAATTGGTGTTCCTGTGTTTTGCTGTAGTTTTCACCTACAGCAAAACAGTTTTTTTCAACTGTTCAGTTTTTGAACAGTTTTCACGTTTTCTACCGTGGGAGTAGAGGAGGAGGTGGTGGGGTTGAGGAAGGGGAGGGGTGTGGTGGTGTGAATGGGGGGGGGGTTGTGGGGGGGGGATGGTGGTGGATGGAGTTTCAATCGTGGTAGAGGTTGTTGTGGTTGGTGTAAAGGTGGGTTGATGGTGATAGTAGTGGAGGTGGTAGTGAGGGTGGGGGTAGCAATATGAGGTGCGGGGAGGGGGGAGGAGTGGTGTAGTGGGGGGGGGAGTGGTGTAGTGGGGGGAGAGGTGTAGTGGGAGGGGTAGAGGGTGGGGGAGAATACACTAAGAAGCGGAAGACAGAAAACGCAGATTCGCATTGCATGCGGTACTGACACCCATTTCCCGCAGTTAAGAAAGTGTTCATGCCAGTACACAAGCCCGTGAATAAATAGGCCAGTACACTAAATAGTCCACAAACCAGTACACTAAAGAGTGCACAAAGCAAGCCATCAAACAAGGCAGGTAAAGAGGCACACGAGGACACATGTGGGACTCTGTGACACTGGAGAGCCAGAGGGAAGGGGGGGGGGGCTCTCTGGTGTCCAGTTCGGGACCAAACTGGACATAAAGCTGCAGATTTGGCCAGGTCAAAGGTCAAACTGTCAGGAGTGATGCGTCTGCGGCCAGATGTACACGTGGAGGAAACAAGAACTATTCTTCCCTTACATGCAAACACTATTAGGTAAGCAATATTATTCACACACACACATACACACACACACACACACACACACACACACACACACACACACACACACACACACACACACACACACACACACACACACACACACACACACACCACACACCCACACACACACACCACACACGCACACACACACACACACACACACACACACACACACACACACACACACACATACACACACACACACACACACACACACACACACACACACACACACATGGTTCAACAGACAGTACTAAGAAGCATACTCTACTCAAGAAGTAGGAGGAAATGGAAGTAATATACAGGTCACAGGACAGAGGACAACCGGAACAGATGTAACGGAGCAAGGAACGAATACATAAATATACGACGAATATCAGAAATAAACTGAAAATAATATTGCCTCTAAAATTAAAGACACAACCAAACCTCCTACTTAATTATATAAGAATGATAACGACAGTGAACGACCAAGTGACAAGGTTACAGAAAATGGAAGGTGAACTAGAAGAGGTTACCTAGCTCAGACAATTAAATATTGAGGTAACAGCAGAGGAATTACGGAAACAACTTTCATCACTAGACGAAACTAAAGCTGTTAATATGCATCGCATCACCATGCATATTAAAAGAAGCAACTTCGTAACAATGATCTTTAATATGACACTTACAAAGGGCAAATTAGCCAGCTTTTGGAAGAAGGGAAATGGAGTACCAATTTACAAGAAAGGAGATGAAGTAGAGGCACTACAGACCAGTGTCACTAACGAGTATCCACTGGAAGGTAATGGAAAGAATAATACGGATAAGACTAGTTACACATCTGGAGAGAATTAAGTATGTAAACAATCATCAACATGGCCTTAGGGAAAGAAAATCGTGTGCGACGAACCTATTAGAGGTCTATGATAACGTGACAAAAATAAGGCAAAACAGAGAAGGATGGACAGATGACATATTTCTGGACAGCCAAAGAAGTCTTTGATATAGTACCTCACAAGAGCTTACTACACAAACTTGAGAGGCAAGCGGCAGCAGAAAAGCACTAACATGGGTAAAGAATTCCCTAACAGACAGGAGTCAGAGAGTAACAGTGAGAGGCGAGAAGTCGGAATGGCGTAGGGTTACAATTGAAGTATTGATGAAGATTGTCAGATTCTCCAGGACGACTTAAACAAGCTACAGAGTTGGTCTGAGATATGGCTACCAGACTGAAACATCAGCAAGAGTAAGGTGATGCAAATGGGAACAGGAGCCAGAAAATTAAAAGGTCAATACACGATGAAGGGAAACTACTCCCTATATAACGACTAGAGAAGAAGACCTGGTAGTGGTCATAACACTAAACCTAACTCAAGAGGATCATATAAATAGACTAACGTCAGCCGCACACTCTACGCTGGCAAAGGTCAGAATGTCCTTCAGGAACTTATATACGAAGGCTTTTAGATCACTGTATACCGCCTGTGTGAGACCTGTCTTGTACGTCGCCCCGTCGTGGAACCCCATCTTAAAAAACACATAAGGAAGCTCGAAAGGGATTAAAAGTTTGCAACGAGACTTGTCCCAGAATTACTAGGGATAAGGTATAAAAAGAGACTGAAGGAACTAAGCTTGGCGACGCTAGAAAAAAGGAGAAGGCAGACATGGTAAAGACATATCAAATACTTAGGGAGATTGACAGAGTGAAAATAGAAGAAATGTTCACAATGAATACTGAAAGAAAACGAGGGCATGGGTGGAAACTTGAGACTCAGATGAGTCAAAGAGATGTTAGAAAGTTTTCTTTTAGCGTAAGAAAAGAGGAACATTTAATGCACTAAAGGAGCAGGTTGTAGAAGCAAACTCATTCATTATTTTAAAAGTAGATATGATTGGGAAATAGGCCAAGGGTCATTACTTTAGGCATCCGGCGGCTAAAAAAGTCCGGGTCCAGTAGCTAATGCCCAATCCTGTAGGCACAAATAGGTGCATACATATAGGCGAGCACGCACACACCGAGCGGATACCGCTCTGGGGACGTACTCCTAAGGGTCTGAGTTCGATTTCCGGTCGATGCAGAATCAAATGGGCAGAGTTTCCTTCACTTGATGCCTCTGTTCACCTATCAGTAAACAGACAGGTGTGTGAGTGAGAAATATGTAGTAGATATGTAGTAGGCAAACAACGTTTAGAAAGGCGGGGTCCAAGAGCTAACAGGCTCGACCCTGAAGGCACATATAGTAAATATACAAACACACAAAAGCTAGAATATAGATAACAAAAAAAGCTTGGCGATAAGATCACAACTTATAAAAGAATAACATGAATCGACAAAATTGGCAAAAGGTCATTCTTGAAACCTGGACCTTAGAGAACAAAAGGTCACTGATTCAAGCTAAGGAACAAAGCTGCCGGGAAAAAAGCCTTTCAAAGTTCTCTATCGACAACAGAGTGGTAGACGGCTGGCACAAGTTAAGTATGAAGCCGGAGGAGGCCAACACCATTAGTAGTTCCGGAGTATCATATGACAAAGAGTACTGGGAAGACGGGACACCACGAGGGTAGCTCTCATCCCTTAGCTAAACATAGTTAATCACACACACACACACACACACACACACACACACACACACACACACGAGCCTTACGACACTAGAAAGAAGAAGGGAGAGGGGGGACATGATAGGAACGTATAAGATACTCAGAGGGATTGACAGAGTGGACATAGACGAAATGTTCACACGGAATAGTAACAGAACGAGGGGACATGGATGGAAGCTTGAAACTCAGATAGTCACAGAGATGTTAGGAAGTTTTCTTTTAGCGTGAGAGTAGTGGGAAAATGGAATGCACTTCAGGAACAGGTTGTGGAAGCAAATACTATTCATAATTTTAAAACCAGGTATGATAGGGAAATGGGACAGGAGTCATTGGTGTAAACAACCGATGCTCGAAAGGCGGGATCCAAGAGTCAATGCTCGATCCTGCAGACACAACTAGGTGAGTACAACTAGGTGAGTACACACACACACACACACACACACACACACACACACACACACACACACACACACACACACACACACACACACACACACACACACACACGCCGCACGCGCGTGCATAAGAAGACCACAATAACACCTGTAGCAACAAATAAAAAAAGTTAAGAGAGTTGAAGACTTCAATTTCCTGGAGAGATGTTACTAGTATAATGTTCCCAGCAACACTGTCAGGGGCAAGGGACGTGGGGCAAGGTCAGGGACGTGGGGCAAGGTCAGGGACGTGGGGCAAGGTCAGGGAAGTGGGGCAGGTCAGGGACGTGGGGTAGGTCAGGGACGTGGGGCAAGGTCAGGGACGTGGGGAAGGTCAGGGTCGTGGGCCAGGTCAGGGACTTGGGGCAGGTCAGGGACGTGGGGCAAGGTCAGGGACGTGGGGCAGGTCAGGGCCGTGGGGCAGGTCAGGGACGTGGGGCAAGGTCAGGGACGTGGGGAAGGTCAGGGTCGTGGGGCAGGTCAGGGACGTGGGGCAAGGTCAGGGCCGTGGGGCAGGTCAGGGACGTGGGGCAAGGTCAGGGACGTGGGGCAAGGTCAGGGACGTGGGGCAGGTCAGGGCCGTGGGGCAGGTCAGGGACGTGGGGCAAGGTCAGGGACGTGGGGAAGGTCAGGGTCGTGGGGCAGGTCAGGGACGTGGGGCAAGGTCAGGGACGTGGGGAAGGTCAGGGTCGTGGGGCAGGTCAGGGACGTGGGGCAAGGTCAGGGACGTGGGGAAGGTCAGGGTCGTGGGGCAGGTCAGGGACGTGGGGCAAGGTCAGGGACGTGGGGCAAGGTCAGGGACGTGGTGAAGGTCAGGGACGTGGGGCAAGGTCAGGGACGTGGGGCAAGGTCAGGGACGTGGTGAAGGTCAGGGACGTGGGGCAGGTCAGGGACGTGGGGAAGGTCAGGGACGTGGGGAAGGTCAGGGACGTGGGGCAAGGTCAGGGACGTGGGGCAAGGTCAGGGACGTGGGGCAAGGTCAGGGACGTGGGGCAAGGTCAGGGACGTGAGACAAGGTCAGGGACGTAGGCATGGTCAGGGACGTGGGCACGTGGGGCAGGTCAGGGACGTGGTGAAGGTCAGGGACGTGGGGCAGGTCAAGGCCGTGGGGCAGGTCAGGGACGTGGGGCAGGTCAGGGCCGTGGGGAAGGTCAGGGACGTGGGGAAGGTCAGGGACGTGGGGCAGGTCAGGGACGTGGGGAAGGTCAGGGCCGTGGGGAAGGTCAGGGCCGTGGAGAAGGTCAGGGCCGTGGGGCAGGTCAAGGCCGTGGGGCAGGTCAGGGACGTGGGGCAGGTCAGGGCCGTGAGGAAGGTCAGGGCCGTGGGGAAGGTCAGGGCCGTGGGGCAGGTCAGGGCCGTGGGGAAGGTCAGGGCCGTGGGGCAGGTCAGGGACGTGGGGCAGGTCAGGGAGATGGGGCAGGTCAGGGAGGTAAGGAAGGTCAGGGCCGTGGAGATCAGGGGGGAAAGTCAGGGAGGTGAGGAAAGTCAGGGCCGTGGGGAAGGTCAGGGCCGTGGGAAAGGTCAGGGCCGTGGGAAAGGTCAGGGCCGTGAGGAAGGTCAGGGTGATCGACAGTAACATATGTGAGGAATGTCATGCCTAAAGGTCAGGTCTGACAGGGGGAACTAGGACAAGCTCGCTACTGAAGATCACGACGAAAATTCCTTCAATTAAAAAAAATAATCACCAATTTCGAACAATTATAAATTGACAGAAAAACTAATTTTATTTCGATTCTCAAATTATTTCGCTGGTCATATATTATGTGCAGTAACCGAGAAATTAGCATGGTCGTCATTTTCGCGATGCCGGGATACTGCGCCGCGAACACAAAGCGCATGTTAAGTAACAATGCGGATTAAGCGCACACGAACTTACGAGGACCTTGTAGCTGCGGTGGTGAGAATGGGAAGCACGCATGCGCACTAAGACAGGTCGTGCGCACAGTGTACGACCCTTCAATAGACAATCGCGCCAGGAATTGCTTTATGATTTAGCAATTTGAAATGTGTTTATTCACTATTTGTGTCTGCAGAATCGAGCCATTATCTTGGACCCCGTCTTTCTAACCAATTTATTTTTGCTCTATCATATCTACTACATATATTTCTCTCTAACACACATATATATATATTCTCAGGAAGTAGCAGCCCGTATAGCAGCCGTCTAACTCCCAGGTAACTATTTACTGCTAGGTGAACAGCAGCATCGGGGTGAAAGAAACTCTGCTCATTTGTTTTCGCCTCCATCGGGGATCGAACCCGGGTCTTCAGATCTGCGACCCCAGAGCGCTGTCCACTCAGCCGCGAGGCCCCCAATGTATATCTATGTGTGTGTGTGAGAGAGAGAGAGAGAGAGAGAGAGAGAGAGAGAGAGAGAGAGAGAGAGAGAGAGAGAGAGAGAGAGAGAGAGAGAGAGAGAGAGAGAGAGAGAGAGAGAGAGAGAGAGAGAGACATATGTATGTTAGTATGTATGAGGAGAGAGGATGACCAGCCAGACGCGCTTAAAGCTGGATGAACACGGGAAGAGACGAGTACCCGCCTGACGGCAGACCTGGCAAGGGGCCCTGGCAAGGAGGGCCCAAGGGGGCCCTGGCAAGGAGGGCCCTGGCAAAGGGCCCTGGCAAGGGGGGCCCTGGCAAGAGGGTCCTGGCAAGGGGGGCCCTGGCAAGGGGGCCCTGGCAAGGAGGGGCCCTGGCAAGGGGGCCCTGGCAAGGGAGGACCTGGCAAGGTGTCCTGACAACGGGACCTGGCGCGCTGGATTAAGACCTAGCTGGGACCCGGGGGGGAGGAGGACCTAAAACAGGCAAACAAGACCCAAACACTTAAGAGGTAGATAACACCGGACCTTAACAACCTCCTAACACCAGGTGACGGAGGGTCCAGAGGCTGCCTGGACCACCTGTTCCAGCACCCCCCCCCCCCTCCCCCGCCCATGAGGGGCGCCCAGGGCTCAAGGAGAGGAACGGAAGGGTTAAGGAAGAGGAGAATGGGATGATCAAGAAGAAGAGGGAAGTGAAGAGGAGAAAATTAGAATGGGGAAGTAAAGGGCTAAAAAATGAGGAATGGAGGAAGAGGAGGAGAAGAATAGGAGATGAGGAATAAGAGGAAGGTAGAACGAGGAAGGAGATGAAGAACAGTCAAGGAGCATGAGGAATAGTCACTGCCACCAGAGTACACACGCACGCACACACACACACCACACACCAAGCACACACACACACACACAGAGGGCCTCGTAGCCTGGTGGATAGCGCGCAGGACTCGTAATTCTGTGGCGCGGGTTCGATTCCCGCACGAGGCAGAAACAAATGGGCAAAGTTTCTTTCACCCTAAGTGCCCCTGTTACCTAGCAGTAAATAGGTACCTGGGAGTTAGTCAGTTGTCACGGGCTGCTTCCTGGGTGGTGTGTGTGTGTGGTGTGGGAAAAAAAAAAAAAGTAGTTAGTAAACAGTTGATTGACAGTTGAGAGGCGGGCCGAAAGAGCAAAGCTCAACCCCCGCAAAAACACAACTAGTAAACACAACTAGTAAACACACACACAGTGTGTGTGTGTGTGTGTGTGTGTGTGTGGGTGTGTGTGGGTAAACTGTTGTGTGTGTGTGGGTGTGTGTGGGTGGTGTGTGTGTGTGTGAACTTTTGTGTGAACAGTGAACAGTGACGTGTGTGAACTTTTTCAGTGTCAGAGTAGTTAACGGATGGAATGCATTAGGCAGTGATGTGGTGGAGGCTGACTCCATACACAGTTTTAAATGTAGATATGATAGAGCCCAGTAGGCTCAGGAATCTGTACACCAGTTGATTGACAGTTGAGAGGCGGGACCAAAGAGCCAAAGCTCAACTCCCGCAAGCACAAATAGGTGAGTACACACCCACACACACACACACACATATTTATATATATTATATATATATATATATATATATATATATATATATATATATAATATATATATATATATATATTATATCTTTATATGCTGTAGATAGAATGTATGTGTGTTATATGTCTCTTGGAGACCCATACGCATGTGGCTAGCCTCACTCAAATGTGTAGGGTGAAGTGTGTGGGGTACAGGACGAACATAGGCTAGTCGGGGGAAGGTTATATGATATCCAAACCACACATCAGAAACGGAAGAAACGACGACGTTTCGGGCCATCTCGGACCATTATCAAGTCGTGTGAGTAGAAACAGAGTGGAAGAGATAATCAATATGAGGGAAGAGAGTGAGAATGAAAGAAAAAGGTGAAGATAAGAATACGATGAAAAAAAGATAAGAATAAAGAGAATCAGGTACAGTAAAGGCAAGGTCAGAAGTTAGGGAAGGTTATCTTGAGATAACCTTCCGAGTGGGAAGGAAGAAGAATAGGAAAAAAAGGTATAAA